TTCTCCCACCATTTAATTTTAGCAGATAGGGCAAAATGGCCCCAACAAAAAAAAAACAAGTTTGCTGGAGATTCCAATGCCGTTATTTATCGTACACCTTATCTAAGCACAATTTTGTAAAAATTTCATTTTCTTATTTGTCATAGCAGTCGCGCCCTCTAGCGGCCGTTCTACAAACTTTCAAATAAATTCTGGTAATTTCTCATGGGCTCTTTAGTCGTTAATATTTTTTTCCGCAGACTCTACGGCTAGTAGATGACAAATAATTGTCATCTGATTGGGACTTACTACAAAAAGGACATGAACGTGCAATATTTAAAGACAATACTTTGTGCGCCCCCAAAGTATTGAATCACGCGCCGCCACTGGTTAAAGAGATTTTTTGTAAATGACGCTTTATGAAATGTGTCCTTGCGACCTTTAAACTTGGTGGCTTTTAACATGGAAAATATTTTGATTTGAAAGTGCTTCTTTAAAATAGCAATATTTTCAGAAAATTGCAGTTGATGCCTATAAACAATATCTGCACATAATATACAGGGTGTCCCAGAAATAAGTGCAAGTATTTTAAGGGGTGGTAGATAGTGATGTTGGTAGCGAATATTTCCATTCGAATTTTGCAAGAAATTTCAGAAATTTCCGAAATATTCGGCCCCAAAATCGCGAATATTCGCAAAAATCCGAATTTGCGAGAAATTTCTTTTCAAATTCAAAGAGACATTCAGCCGAGCAACATTTAACGAGAGAATATCAAATTACCTATTCTTAAATCCAGAGGAATAGAATGCTTCTCCGCCTTTTCAAAATAGAAAACGTATGACTCTTAAATCAATGCATTTTGCCGCGAATCTATTGGACCCCTCTGTTTCCTGAGAGAGCACCTTAACAATGAAGAACACAGCCGCTATGGAATTTATCAACAATATCACCAATAATCATCCTCAGTTTGTCAATAATAAGCCATTTTACAGATGTAACAAATTATTGCGCCAAATCGGGTTTATGGGCTCTTGACTACGTTTGGATGTCAGTTAAAGATGTAGACTGTCTAAGTTGGTGGCAAGCAATGTGTAAAATACTCAGTTGAAATATTTAGCTGTTGCTCTGCTGTATTTACCAACGTCATCTGCAGCCACTGATAGAAGTTTCAGTACTTACTGTTTTATCCATACTAAAATAAGGAATCGCTTAACTGCACAAAGAGCCAGCAAAATAATGTTCGTAGCTCATAACAATAAATTATTACTACAAAACAAAAAGTGGATATGGAACATGATATGCAACAACATGAAACTCCTCCAGAACCACTAGACTAGAACCCGTAGAGGTAGAGGAATCAGAACCAGATGATACATCAAATATACCTGATTTGGAAATAAAAACTGACGAAGAGAGACAATTACTACTACTACTACTACTATAATACCCTATGAAGATGGACCAGCTCGGCGCCTGAAAGTATTTCGGAATAGTATAATTCAGTTATTTGTGTTTAACGTTTTTTAAACTTTAAAAATATTTTTTGTGCTTTTTGTTTTTTAAGTTCCTTAGTCATGGTTCATGGTTTATGTACAAGGTACAAATGTTACCAAATAATTTTTTTTATTTTTTTAAGATGTTTTTTTTAGTTCTGTTATCGTTATGTATGTTTATTAAAAAAATATAACAACTAATATTATGTTTGTTGTTTTTTTCCACTTACATGTTGGTATCAAATGTCATCTAATTTATTCATTGTATCAACAAAAATATGTAAAATTGTAAAATTTCCTAAAAATTTCATAGAATTTCAAAGTTTTCGAAGTTTCGGAAATTTCTACAATAATCAAAAGTTTCCGAAATATTAACATCACTAGTGGTAGATCTCGATAAAGTAACACATTTTCTCTTCAATCTCTTTTCAAACCGTCCAAGTAGGCAGTTATTTTACTTTGAAAAATTTCAAAAAAATGATTTTTTACTACAAAATTTTGAGAGGCCACTGGATCTTTTTATGGATTTTCTTTCTTGTTTTTTTTTTTTTTTTTTTTTTTTTTTTTATTAAGAAATTATGTTTTAACTAAATAAAACTCCGAAAAAAACCGAATTTTCAAAAACAAATTTTTCATAAAAAACTCATGGAAACATGGGGTTGAACTGTACTACCAGTGAAAATACTTATTTCTGGGACATGGCAATCAACAGAGATTTGGTGTTGATCCTGTTCAAGTTTTATTACCCAACTAGATTTGACAGAATAAAGACCTCACATTAAAAGAGCAAAATCAATTAAAACCTTGCTAAACTGTCAATATTTAACGGAAAATATAGTCATTAATATCTAGAAGGTGAAGTAATAAAGGGTATTTTTACTTATTTTACTAACTGTGGTTAAATCATACCGTTGTATTAACAAATACTATTAAAATATTGAAAATTAATAAAATATCTTATACTATTGTAATTTTAATTGCCATATTGGCTATGATTCGTATGATGTTTTCCAAACACATTTTTTTTAATTTTAAAAGCTGAATAAAGGGTACATGCTATAATACAGCTTGTCATTGAATTTGATATGTTTGGATGCTGGCCGCTGTAGTTGTTTGAAATATTAAAAATTTAATCTCTACAGACATAATTTAAAATTATCCACATGTTTTAATAATTTGTATCCAAATATTGGCAATAACTCCAAGTATATTATTTCAAATTTGGGTATTAAGTAATGCAGATATTAAATACCATATGTTCGAAAAAAATGGCGTCAAGAAGTCGGCTCGGAAATGACAATCGATGATAATTTTTCCATAGGGTCAATCTAGATGTCATTTTACTAAAAATTGACAAACATTGAACACTAATTATAGAAAAGTTAAAAGGATATAACGTTTCCAAACGCACAAATCTAATTTCCAACCTCAAATTTTAAACTATACACCATTTAAAATAATTTGTACTTCATATAAAATAAAGTTTTTTTTTTTTTTATTGATTTATTTTCATAAGATTTGTGTTTGGAAAATGTCAAAAAAGAAGGAATTTTGGGGCCTATACGTAGAGTTTAGGGCTTGACCTGTAAAATTATCATGGGTGTCATTCTCAATACGTCTTTGACATAGTTTTTCGATCGTATGGTATTATATTAATTTTAATGAATAGTCAGTTACATATCTAATTTTTTATTTTTTATTATGAACAATATTACATACATATTTGAGTTACTGTTATATGTTAAATGTTTTACCAACAGTATAAGTATGTTCGATTGTTTGCTAATGTTATCTTTATGGCTGAGTTTGCTAATATCACGATCTACTTAATTGTACGACAGTGTTAAAGGAATTATGTACATATTTTCCCTATTTAAATACATTTGAAACCACGTTTTCTATACGACATGCATGGGCCACAACTTTTGCTTTTGGTGGAGAACCTATAAATGTAAATCGGGCGTCAGTCAACTGCACCTGGTGTTACTCAGCTGTCAGGAAATGGCTACAGAGCCATCCCCAATAATTGAAATCGAGATTGAAATAGTTGGCAATATATTGTTAGGGGATTTTAGGTTTAGTGATTGGTACCAATGTTAAAAGAAATTATTGATCGAAAAGAGTAGCAGTTTATGTCAATTCATTGACGCCGATTTGGTTATGGATTGCTGCTCTTCTTGGAAATTTACCAGGTGTCCTACTAAAGCATGAGTAACCATTAGGACATGCAGGAGAGAAATAAAATATAATCAATAAGGCCATGAGAAATTATTGGAATTTATTTTTAATTTAACGGCTACAACAGAACTTTTTTTGACCCTTGTCTCTGCCCTAGTGATTTTTTCCACCGTTCTAGAGATGTGTTTTTCTACGTTTTTTGATTGTCTAGGTAGCTACGCATATTTTTAAGCAAGTGATTGTTAAGTCGGCAGGCTGATTATGAATAGGCTGTGGTAATACCTAGATAAATTGTGTTTAGAGAATGTTCCAGTTTAACGGATTTCGACTCTCTCTGTGAGCTTGTTTGTTATTTAAAACCAAAACCTTAGCCCTTTCTAGGTTTGGAGTATTTGCTTGTATTAGATGTTATTTTACATATACTCCATTCGCATTGCAGTGGTATGTGGTCTGGTGTCGTTGCAGTGTTTTTATATCAAAAACACCTATATGTGAGAGTCTTCAGTAATTAAAAACAAGTGTTACTATGACTAAAACTGCACATTAAATATGTGTAACTTTTCTAAATTTTCATAACAATACAATTAGAAGTTAATAATGTATTTTATGAACGGATTTCATGTATTTTTTGTTACTTATTTTTTAAAATATACTGAAAGAAAATGTAGTAGACGTTCAAAATTGAAATCGCCAAATTTATTTCCCCATTGGCATTTATTGCAGGGTTGCCAGATTGTGTTGAATTTCCAAACCAACTATATTATATACAAAAGCGGTTTGCCGTTTCAAAACAACGTTTGTTGTAACCAAAACAACCTTTTTCTTGTAATTTTTTTTAGTTATACGAACGAGTTTTGATTGCTTTGGTTTAATGGAAGTTCTTAATATGGCCTATGGAGGGACTTAAAAAAATAATGATTTGGCGGTCGGTGGACCTTAAAGTTAGGTTTATATCTAGCTGTAGCTCTAACAATCAAAACACGCTGTAAGTGTTTTGATTGCTTTGGTTTCACTCTTGTTTTTTGTTTTTCGATACATCCAGAGATATTGGATACAACGCAGTCAACAGGAAACTAAATTAAAGCTATTGAAATTGTGCGTTTAATAGCGACAACACTGCCTAACCCCATGTCATAATATGTTCGTGTCACCTGTCAAAGTAAGTATGTTCATGTTCTGTGGTCAAAATTTATCCGCAGCTTCAAATAATGCCAAAATCTTAATTTCATATTTTAAAAAATGCTTGATAATTCGCAAATTTTCTGGAATCTGTTTTTTTATCGGTAATTTTTTAGGTTTTCGATGTGCAGTTTTCGTCAGGGGTACAAAAAGATTATTTTCATCTCTCAAATGTTTAGAGGATATTTTTGCTATGCATGTTTACTTCTTCACCTGGTCCTCAGTCCGATTGATGCCCGTCCCTCCTCCGGCGGTGGCGGCCGTACACAACAGCCGGCGGCCAGGCAGAAGGGCCGCCGTTCGCCGCCCCTCCGCGCCGCCCCCTCGCCCCACGTTCGTTCAACGACAACGTGCAGCTGCCCGCCTGCTTGCCTAGCAGCCCGCCAGCCGGCATCGCAGTCGTCTGTTGTAGTTTCAGTTCGCGCGAGGGTCGCTAAGGGTGAGAGTGTAGTGTGCGTACTGTCGTGTGTTTATTTTGGAGGAAAAGACGAAAGGGAAATAGAGGAAAAGCACTGTTCGTTTGGTAGAGAGAAAAAGGGAAGTATGTTGTTCGAAAACCCCCCGGTAGCGGCGAAGATATTCGCGGGTTATGGAGTACCACCCCCAGGTGTAGTGCCGCAGGCTTTGGTCGGGTAAGTTTTGGGTCTTGGTTGTTTCTTTGTCGATGTTTGGTACCAAGGTTGATTTGGATGTTCTTTATTTCTATAAATGATGCTAAAGGTCTTTCGAACTTCCATTGTCTTTATTTTTTTTTTTTTTTTTTTTTTTTTATTCTTTTTTTTAGTTTCCATAACAGAGAAATATAAGTATCATGCGTTGCTCAGGGTTACAGGAACGCTGGGAGCTGGTCTTTTTATGCCTTTAAATGATTCCATTGTCTTTATTTTAAAGTACACAATGTGTAACAACTTTTTTTATAGTTACCATAACAGAGAAATATGTGTCATGCGTTGCTCAGGGTTAACAGGAAAGCTGGGTTCGTGAGTAAGACTTTTGGCATTCTTTTAATGCTGTTAAATAATAAACAAAAATATAATGTACGGACCAACGATTTATTTGAATATTCTTTAAAGCTATTATGCTTTTAAATGATACCAAAACACGTTCAAACTCCCATTGTCTTTATTTTAGAGTACACAACATGCTAACTTTTTTAGTTTCCATAACAGAGAAATATAAGTGTCATGCGTTGCTCAGGGCTGTGATACGTTTCAGTAAGTTGTGTTAGTGACCACTAAATCCCAGTTTACACTGGGAAGACAAACTATTTTAGTTTTCTTGCACGGAATCATTGTCTACCAGATTCCCAAAAACATTGCTACACTCTGTCACAAATTACTCTGTCTATTTACATTGTTGTAAATGGTACGATCTTTATACTCCTATAGTTCAGACACCAATTAATAAGTTCTAGACCACATTAAAAACATGCAATAAAAGAAAGTTATAGAATTATTTTCCTGCTTTCAAAGGAATACTGAGTAATAACAAAAACTTTTTCTGTTAAAGGTTACCCTCTACCATTGTACCTACCATCTTCAATGGCCGGTATAATGGGTACTAGGTACCTATATCTGTGACATTTTCTGTCCTATAGTACATTTTGTCGTTGTCGACCATACAGGGTGTCTCAGAGCCTGCACCATATCTCATGGGGAGATTCCTCACGTAAAAATTAGATTTATTTTTATATCAACATAGGTCCGATTCTTCTTTGTTTCAGCTTCTACAGGGGTTTGAGAGTAAAATGAGATTCACACTAACAAGGTATACACCATTGGATATTGTAATATACTTATTAGATATCTACATAATATTCTTGGACTAGCATTTTTTTGAATGTTGAACACAAAATACAATATTAGCCGACGCAGATATTTTATATCAACAAATTCAATGTTTTTAATGTAATAATAGAACTTATTCTTAAATAATTCAAATAAGTTAAATCATCACTATATGGTTCGGTATTTGAAAAGAAACAGCGTAAACACATTATAAAAACTATCATCTGGAGTGAGATAGAGACGTTAATGTTCAGATAAGGCAATATTTTAACTATTTCATTCATAAAATTGAGGTGATTCTCATATTTTGTATTTAAACGAAACAATTTAATGCCATTTGGAAAAACTAATATACAAAACTTCTTGGTTGTAATTTAAATCAAATTATTCTTTATCAACTTAAAGTCTCTTCAACGAGTACGACGACATCCATACAATGACAACACAAGAATCATTTTAAGACCACTTTAAACTTCTGATGTCCGATAACTATATTTTTGTGAAGTGGTGGGAACTATCGGATGAATACTATCGAAACATTCGATAGTTGCAATTCAATCGAATAATTCGATGGTTAGTAAGAAAACATTCGTTGAAAACTATTCGAAGATACAAAAGGTATAGACCAGATAAATCATCTGCTGTAGTATTGTATTCACAAAGTAATTCGGCCGCAAAAACCATTCATTTATAAAATTGAGTATCATTTATAAAAATTCATTCATTTTATGAAATTCATTTTATTCTCGTCAGGATGATTATAATAAAGAGTATTAACTGAATTTAGTTGTCGCCCGGCGAAGTAGGTTTCTTTCCTAGAAAACAGGCGGTCGGTAGCAATGCTATGAAAGAAACCGGCATCTTTGATTTTTAGCGGAGTCAGATATAGATAGGGACACATTATTTTTTTTATTGAGGTGCTATTTACACAGAAAATACATTTATGAAGGGCGCTGTTGCCATATTTTGTATTAGTTGATGTGTAAAGAATATTATTGTTTGGCTTTAGTTAGTTAGGGATGGTATGTCCATATATTCTGCATTTTTTATTAATATTCTGTTGTTACACACGTAATGCATTTATTTTGGATGTGGGAAAATTATTTTAATGTTTTTAAGCAGACTGGTTTAATAAATAATAATAACAGTAATAATTTGTTATACCTATTAACAACAAAATTTAAAATCATTTTAATATAAATATTTTTTTTTAGTAGTATAAAGTATAAACAACAAATTAGATGTCAAATTATTTATATTAGATCCTATTTAAAATAATATAGTCTCTAATTATTTTGGCAACGTTGGTTTGTTAAATAATAATAATTACAAGAACTAATTTGTTATATTAACAACAAATTTTAAAATCATGAAATATAAACTTGTTTATTAATTTTCTAAACAAACTGTTGGTGTGTGGAGAATATAAATAAAAATTGAAATCAAAATTATTTATATTAGGTGCTTTACATATTGCTATTTAAAAATTATATTTAATTTTACTGGCATTTACTTTAAAAATTAATGAAATATTTCTTCATAAAACACATGTAAGAGGTGTAGCATAAAACAAAATGTCACGAGCCATCACGTTAACTTTTTTAAATTTGGCACGTGTAAAATTTTCATTTTAATTTTTCCTACCCCCATGGTTTGAGTTCGATAACCATTTATTTAACCATTTGCCAAATGCTACAACAATTGTGGTTCCAACTAATTCATAGGTATTAAAACATCAAATTGCAAATATAACAATTTTAAAGGTGAGTTAAGTTCATCTCGTCTCTCTTAGAAATTGCTACTTCTCAAAATTTCCCAAATTAAAATAGACCATATACCATATAAAAGTGGAAATAATTGAAGATCGGACTACGGAAAACCACACAAATTATCGGAAGAATTTTTGACCACCTACACATACACACAATCGATAATAAATAAATTAAAAATAACTACTATTTTAGTATTTTTAACTATTTTTAATAAACGCAAAAATAGCACAATATTTACAAGGCGAAGTTAAAAAAATTTGGAAGAACCAATGAATAATTCACTGACGCATACAAGAATCAAACGAATACTAAATTTCATTTTATCAAAAGGTATTCGATAGTCGTGGCTCAACGATAACCATTTTGTTGCACGGCGGGTTGTCACCTTAATGCTTTTAGTTTCAAATGAATGAATGATTTTTTATTCGAATAAAACCATTCGATAGTTGAAAACATTCATTCATTAACCATTCGATGGTCTAATTCATTCGATGGTTCCATCCCTTTAATATTTTTTGGAAATATATTTATATTTAAAGAGCACCCAACTACTCTCATCTCTGAGTCGATCCTTGGTTTCTAGATATCGACAAAAACTAAATCATTCTAACAATAAAATTATATACAATAATTTGATGAATATTTTTTAGGGCAGCCTTAATATCGTAATTTTAACTATACCATTTATTATTTGTTTTTTAACGTATATATTATTATGTTTTTGTCAATAAATAATAATAAAAATATGTTTATTGTGTATTCAATGAACTGTGAATAGAATTCGTAGTTCGATAGTTTCGGTTCGTACGCTGATGTGTATTTTTTGGTTGTATGGTTTTGGTCCTTACTTTTGTCAATTCTTCTTTGTCAGTTTAATGTTTCAGTGCAAGTAAATTCGTTTTAGAGATGTTGATATTTAAAAGAATTCGATATAACGTTTTTTAAAGTATCGATATTTTATATATCGATAACTTTTGTACATCCCTAATTTGTCTTTACTCAAACAACGCTATAATTTCGGATAATTTAAGTTTTTAACACAATCCGAAAAGATTTTATCACTTTAATACAAATATAAAAATTTTAACGGCTTGAATATTGACTGAATTTAGTTCGGAAGCTAATGGAGATATTCCGCACTGAAGGACATCGCTGGTATTGCAATAGCAGCTTCGTATAATAACGTAGGGATGTGAGTATTTAAAAAAAGTATCGATAATATATTTTCAAAGGTTATCGGTATTTTAAAATATCGATACATTTGAACATCTCTACGACTTAAAGAAACCTTTAATGCAGCTTCGCCCTTTCCCTTTAAAATGTATCACAGTGCATTTAAATAGTAAATGCTCTCCATGTTTGTTAGTTCCGATCTGATATAAAACAGTTACAAACTGCAATACAGACAGTATCTTAAATCACTTTTGACTTCTGAAAACAAATCGCTCGGTATATATCCATATGCAAACATTTTAGATAAGGCAAGTAAAGTCTTTTTATTATTATACGACGTTCAAGAGAGCATACGTATACAGAAAATTCATTGTTATGTATGATGTGAAGTTTATTTTTGGAAGTTACCTAACATGTTTTCTTCATACAATGGTGAAAATAATATTATTGATTGTTTAATAGCATTTCCTTTTGTTTTCATTTTTAGAGGTGGGGACAATAAAATAGAAAGTAATAAACCACTTTGATATTTAAAAATATACCAGATTATACCAGATTATTTGCATCGTCGGACGGGACAGAATCCGTATGGAAGTTTGATAGGACCCGATTATTGAAGAGCACTAAAATCCCACATTCAAAGAATAACTTTAGATATTTTGATTAAGCAAGATTTTGAGTTATGTAAAATACCGATTTCTTTAAATATTTCTCAACTCTTATATTTTGTATTTACTTATGAGCACCAGTCAAGGTAAAAGAGATAACTGTCAAATGAGTTGTCATTTCAGAATTTTACTATTTAGTGCATTTATTGTGAGAAACTCATTCTAGCAGATTAGAGTCACCAAAGATGTTTTAGCAATACAAATTGGCCTTGAATTAAGTAAGAATAAAGTA